CGTCTTCAACATTTGGAGTACATCGGTTAGAAGATGATCACCTTTGGAATCTAGCTTCACGTAGTGTTAAAGATACGATTGAAGACGGGTTACTTCAGGCAAAAGAAATGACCGCCTTACATGGAAACTGTCAACTTTTTCACAGCACTCGATCCAGATCGACCACATTGTCATCAGTTACCGCTGAACGGTGTCAATTCAAGGCTGCCGTTCTTATTGGTCAACACCAGTGGATACAGACTACGCCTTGTTACGAGCCAAATTCTCCTTAACCCTGGCAAGCAACCGCAAAAAAGCCAGCAACAACGAATACCCACGATACAATGTCAGTGAGTGTTGCAAATCGGCCTTCTTAGTGGAACTCTCCGATCGCTTCACAGCTCAATCACCAGCAGAAATCAATGAACATAGGAAGCAATGTAAATATGAATAAAAACAACGTCGGAGTCCTGGCGTAGGCTCACAATACAAACGATGGGTCTTGTCGACCACGGCTGCCCTGCTGGACGCCCGCCGAACCCTTCCTCCCGATGCAAAATACGCGCAAATCCCTTGGACACCAGCTCATCATGAGTCTGAGGAATGACCTCGAGAAGTGGTGTGTGGGAAAGTGTAGAGAAATGGTGAAAGCTGCGGCTATCGGTAATAGTCGCAATCTTTTTCGTCTAGTTAGGAATACGAGCCTTAGGAAATAGGAGAAAGTGAGATAATTAGAGAGGCCTATGGTACAATGATTCACCATCAGCAACGCCGTCTTGATCGATGGGCCAAACACTTCGTGGCTCAGTTCAACTGGACCCGATTGACATTTGACCTATCACCTCCCCCATCCCACATGAACTGGGCATATACTCCCAGATGACGAAAGTCCTCAATCTGAAATGGAGGTTTCCCGGGAAATAAGCTATCGCAAAAGGCATAAGGCCTCCCGCCAAGACGGGCTCTCTCCATCCATTTTTAAGGATGGAGGTTTAGCATTGGTTTCGGAGTTAACGAAACTCCTGGGCTCAGTGTGGGAGAGGGAACAAGTTCCAGCTGAATGGTGTGAATCAGTCATCATACCGATTTACAATAAAGGTGACAGACCCTCTTCTGAAAACCACAGAGGAATTAGTTTAATCAACGTTGCTTCTAAACTTCTCGCTGGTATCATACTCCGTCAATTGTCTTCCGCACGTGAAGAGTGCACGCGCGAGAACCAGGCTGTTTTTAGACCTGATCGAGGTTGCATCGATCACATCTTCACTCTTCGCCAAACTCTTGAGCACCGACATTCTTTTCATAGACCCACCATCTCTATCTTCCTGGATTTTAAAGTGGCCTTCGACTCTGTCGACCGCTCTAAACTCTGGCGCTGCCTTTCTCTGAAAGATGTGCCTGAAAAGTTAATTTCAATATAACGATCCCTCTATACTCATAGCCGAAGCCGAGTCCGGCACGCATTCGCCCGAGTTCACCACGGAAAGTGGTGTTCGTCAGGGTTGCTCTCTCTCCTTTCCTATTCAACTTTGTCATAGATTTGATCATGGAAACAGCCCTGTCCTCGTGCGAGGATAGCGGTATCGATTCAATCCCAGGAGGCAGGTTGTCTGATGTGAAGTATGTAGACGACATTGTGCTGCAAAGTGGAGACGCGGGTAAGTTGCAAGCTTTCCTGGACAGTTTGAATGCCAGTGTAGCCATGTTCGGTATGCGCTGTAAGCACAAGACTGGGTTGATCCAGCACCCAGCCTCACTCTAATTAGGAAAGTACTAGACCAAGTGAACGAGTTTTAGGTCACCGCGGTTGACCACTAGAGCAAATGGTCGACCTCCATAGATTACGTAGGTGGGTGCATGTGTTACACATATCAGCAAACAGGTTGCCACGCCGCGCGATGCTCG